CCCAGCACTTTGGGAGGCCGAGGTGGGCGATCACCTGAGGTTGGGAGTTCGAGACCAGCAAGGCCAACATGACGAAACCCCGTCTCTACTAAAAATACAAAAAATTAGCTGGGCATGGTGGGGCACACCTGTAGTCCCAGCTATTCAGGAGGATGAGGTGAGAGGCTCAGTTGAACCTGGGAAGCAGAGGCTGCAGTGAGCTGAGATCGTGTCACTGCACTCCAGCCTGGGCCACAGAGGGGAAAAAAAAAAGGAATGAAGCCTGACATACGCTACAATGACAATGTGGATGCACCCCGAAAACATGATGCCAAATGAAAGAAGCCAGTCACAAAGACCGCACAGCATATGACTCCATTATATGAAATGTCCCCTTTAGGCAAACATAGGCAGAAAGCAGATGAGTGGGTGCTTACCGCTGGGGGTGGGGGTGGGATGGGATTGGAGGATGGTGTTTCTTTTGGGGGTAAAAAAAATGTTCTGAAATTGTGGTGATGGGGGCACAAATCTGTGAATAGACTAAACACCACTGAACTGTACACTTAAATAATATTTTTTCTTTTTTTGTTTTAAAGAAACAAGGTCTGTCTATGTTTCCCAGGCTGATCTCAAACTCTTGAGCTCAAGAGATCCTCCTGTCTCAGCGTCCCAAAGTTCTGAGATTACAGGCATGAGCCACTGCACCTGGCTGAATTGTACACTTAATTTATTTATTTAGAGACAGAGTCTCATTCTGTCACCCAGGCTGGAGTGCAGTGGTACCACCTTGGCTCACTGCAACCTCCACCTCCTGGGTTCAAGTGATTCTCCTGCCTCAGCCTCCCGAGTAGCTGGGATTACAGGCGCGCACCACCATGCCTGGCTAATTTTACATTTTTAGTAGACCTTGTCTCAAAAAACAAACATGGATGGGTGCAGTGGCTCACACCTGTAATCCCAGCACTTTGGGAGGCCAAGGTTGGCAGATTACCTAAGGTCAGAACTTCAAGGCTAGCCTGGCCGACATGATAAAATCCCATCTCTATTAAAAATACAAATATGGGGCTGGGCACGGTGGCTCACGCCTGTAATCCCAGCACTTTGGGAGGCTGAGGTGGGTGGATCACGAGGTCAAGAGATCGAGACCATCCTGGTCAACATGGTGAAACCCCGTCTCTACTAAAAACAAAAAATTAGCTGGGCATGGTGGCACACGCCTGTAATCCCAGCTACTCGGGAAGCTGAGGCAGGAGAACTGCTTGAACCCAGGAGGCGGAGGTTGCGGTGAGCTGAGATCGCGCCATTGCACTCCAGCCTGGGTAACAAGGGCGAAACTCTGTCTAAAAAAAAAAAAAAATACAAATATTGGCTGGACATGGTGGCATGTGCTTGTAGTCCCAGCTACTCAGGAGGCTGAGGAGAGAGGACCATCTGAACCTGGGGAGCAGAGGTTGCAGCGAGCCGAGATTGCACCATTGCACTCCAGCCTGGGTGACACAGCAAGACTCCATCTCAGAAAAAAAAAAAAGTCCTCTTTCTTGGGCTTCTGAAGGAAACTGGGACAGGGTTTCAGAGTCCTTCAGGCGCAGGCTGACTTTGCTGCTAGAAAACTTTCTAATGTCCAAGTCACTGCAGCAGGAAGATCCAGGCCCCAGCCTATGCCTTCCTGCCCAGCCTCCAACCTGGCAAAGCCCAGAAAAGGCACAGAGCAGGCACTCCATCAGAGATAACAGAGACAAAGGGTGACCAAAGGAACGCATGGCAGCCCTCTGTCTGTCATAAGCTCCCGGGCGGTGGAGTGCCACAGCGGCCCAATCCATGGTGGGCACGGTTTCAGTCTCCTCCCAGCCTTACCCACATGGTCTCCTGCAGCCCTGGGTCAAGGGGTCCGAGAGAAACATAAGCCTTCCTTCAGGGAGCTGATTTCAGACGATCTGGGTCCCACTTCTGACTCTGCCACTAACTTGCTGTGTGACCTTGAGCAAATCACTCTCCCTCTCTGTCTACACTTTTCTCATCTATTCAGTAAGCATGCTGAACTGGATCATGATAACCCGTAGTAATACTAGCTAATACTTGCTGAGTATTTTCTGTGTACCAGGTAAGATTCTAAGTGGTCTGTACAGATTCACTGATTTTACCCTCATGACAAGCTTATGAGGGAGGTATGGTCATTTCCCCCATTTTTACATATGGGGCAACTGAGGCACATGAAGGTCACGTGACTTGATCAAAGTTACATAGCAGGGAGATTTCCGGTTCGGGACTCAAACCTGGGCTGCCTGGCTCCAGAGACAGTGCATACAACCAGGAAAGCATTTGTTTTCATTGTTACTAATTAATTCTCAACAAAGGACATCCAAGGAAAAGAGAATCCAGACGTGGATCAAACTTTTCCTTTTTGCTTGGTTCCCACAGTCCTTTTCAGTGCCAAATCACATTTTTTTTTTGAGACAGTCTTGCTCTGTCACCCAGGCTGCAATGCAGTAATGCAATCTCAGCTCACTGCAACCTCCACCTCCCAAGTTCAATTGAATCTCCTGCCTCATCCTCCCAAGTCACTAAGAACAGGTGCGTGCCACCACAATCTGTTTTTTTGAGACAGAATCTCGCTGTCACCCAGGCTGGAGTGCAGTGTCGCGATCTCAGCTCGCTGCAACCTCCACCTCCCGAGTTCAATTGAATCTCCTGCCTCAGTCTCCCGAGTCGCTAAGAACAGGTGCGTGCCACCACAATAGGCTAATTTTTTGGGTTTTTTTGAGTCAGAATCTCGCTGACACCCAGGCTGGAGTGCAGTGGTGCAATCTCAGCTCACTGCAACCTCCGCCTCCCAGGTTCAAGTGATTCTCCTGCTTTAGCCTCCTGAGGAGCTGGGACTACAGGCACCCACCACCACACCCAGCTAATTTTTGTATTTTTAGTAGAGATGGGGTTTCACCATGTTGGACAGGATGGTCTCAATCTCTTGACCTCATGACTCACCCGCCTCCGCCTCCCAAAGTGCTGGGATTACAGGCGTGAGCCACTGCGCCCAGTCTAATTTTTGTATTTTTAGTAGAGACGGAATTTCACCATGTTGGCCAGACTGGTCTCAAACGCCTGACCTCAAATGGTCCACCTGCCTCGGTCTCCCAAAGTGCTGGGATTACAGGCAGGAGCCACTGCACCCAGCCTAATTTTTGTATTTTTAGTAGAGACGGAGTTTCACCATGTTGGCCAGACTGGTCTCAAACTCCTGACCTCAAATGATCCACCTGCCTCGGTCTCCCAAAGTGCTGGGATTACAGGCATGAGCTGCCGCACCCGGCCTTCAGTGCCATACTTGATTCTGCAGAGAGGTAACCACACGTTCTGAAGTTCAGCACCCAGCCCAGGTCCATCCCTATCCCATCAAACAAGAGGAGGAGGCTCATGTGGTAAACCAAGGAGTTTCTGAGACAGAAGCGATGACCCTGAGATTCCTTGGGGTGAGTGAGTGGCAGGAGGTACCCCTGCTTTAGTGAGCAGAGCAGATGCCGCCCACAGCCCTGCCTGGCCCAAACCTTGCAGCCTGTCTGTCCTTTTCCCAGCACCAGAGAAGCTTACCGGATGAGTGACAGTTCACGGGCTCCAGCGCCACTCAGGTCTGGGATGCCATCCCAGGTTACTCACTGGTAAGCATGTGCCTGTGACAAGAGCCTCCAATCTCTTCCCACCACAAGGTTTAGAATAAAATCCAAACCTTGGCCTCTAAGGAGCTACGTGACCTGACCCCTGTGACCTCATCTCCAACCACTCAATCATCTTCTGACACATTAGCCTTCTTTATTTTTTATGAATTTTTTTGACGTGGTCTCACTGGAGACCACGTGGTCAGGCTGGAGTGCAGTGGCATGATCTTAGCTCACTGCAGCCTCGACCTCCTGGGCTCAAGATATCCTCCTGCCTCAGCCCTCTAAGTAGCTTAGACTACAGGCGTGCACCACTGGACCTGGCTAATTTTTTTTGAGACAGAGTCTTGCTCTGTCACCCAGGCTGGAGTGCAATGGCGCAGTCTCTGCTCACTGCAACCTCCACCTCCCAAATCCAAGTGATTCTCCTGCCTCAGCCTCCGGAGTAGCCTGGATTACAGGTGCCCACCACTATGCCTGGCTAATTTGTTTTGTATTTTTAGTGGAGACGGGGTTTCAACATGTTGGCCAGGTTGGTCTCAAACTCCTGAGCCTGGGATGTGCCCACCTCAGCCTCCCAAAGTGTTGAGATTACAGGCGTGAGAGCCACTGCGCCTGGCCAGACCTGGCTACTTTTTAAAAAACATTTTAGTAGAGATGATGTCTCACTATGTTGCCCAGGCTAGTCTCAAACTCCCAAGTAATCCTCCTGCTTCAGCCTCCCAAAGTGCTGGGATCACAGGTGTGAGCCACTGTGCCCGGCCTACATTGGCCTTCTTGGTTTCCCTCGAATGCTCATGTCCCAGGGACCTTTCGCAATGACTGTCCCCTCCACCTCCCCACTCAACACATGCAGATAGGTGAGTGGCTCACTCTGCTACTTCATTAGGGCTCAAACATGACCTCGTCGGAGGCCTTCCCTGGTAACTGTATCTGAAGACGTCCTTACCAAGTCACTCTGTCACATGCCCCACTGACCGCAGCTCTCCCGGAGCATGGGTGCCCCTGGACCTGTGGCATCTGTGTGTTTACATTTAACGCCCTTTCTCCTCTGCAAAGCACACAAGCTTCCCAAGGGCAGGGTCTCTGTCGTGTTTAACACGTATCCCAGGGCCAAGAGAGGAACCTCACAAACAGACGGGAAGCTGTGATAGTTTGCTGCAAGAATCTCGGTGTCACCATCTGTAAACTGAGGCTACATGATGCTTCTCTGGCAGGGCTATGGGGCAAGTCAACATGACACAGGAGGCAAAGGGCCTTGGGCACCAGCCAGCACCGCATCAATGTCCAGGGGCGGTGGCGACAATCACTGATGTGGGCGATGAGAAAAGGAACGGCCGGCCCCTCGCATTGGCGCCGGCCCCCACTTACCCTCATGCTTCTGGAACTCCTCCTCTGAGAAGTTGACGTCCTTGTGGGAGAGGTTGGTCATAAGCTGCTTGTTCTCCTCCTGCAGCTGGGCGATCTGGGAGAGGAGGTCCTGAGCCTCCCCTCGCCACACATCCTCCACCAGCTCCAGCTCCTGCCAAGGCGAGGGGACAGCACGGGGTCACTGCCTGCCCAGGGCAGCAGCCTTACCCACCCTGACCCTAAGGGCGGCTTGGATTGCCGGGACTTTGGGCCTTCCCCTTCCTTGTGAGAACTGGGAATCAGGCATCTGGGTTGGCAAGGCCACCATGAGCCCCATATGGTACTTTTGCAAGAAACAGAAGGCACCCTTCTTTGGGGCAGATGCCTGCGTTTATGCTGCTAGGACCTGGCCCAGTTAGAACTGCCCCAAGGACAACCACAAAGCTGGTGCCACGTCTTGGAGCTTTCTTCAGAGAGGGCAGAGCAGCCCCAGGATGTGCGGGTCCTAACATTCTCAACCTCTGGGGGCACGTCCTTGACTCTGGACAGTTGGGACAAACCTCTCTCCACAGGAGCCAGAGGGCTCGAAAATCCTGGGGGTGCCGAGGCAGACAGGGTCCTCCTGCCCCAGAGTTCCTTAGGTATCTGATCCAGGTCTCTCTCCACAGGGTCTTCAACCACTGACCTGACCACCCTGAGCCTCAGTTTCTCTCAGTAGGGGAACCAAAACAAAGGCTCACTAGGTGAATGTGAGAATAAATAAAATCAGTCTATTAAAGTTACCTTGTGAGTGACTGTGGTCAGAGAAATAGACAATGACAAGTGCTGACAAGGAGAGGAAGAAACAGCAGCGCTCCCACGCCGCTGGTGGGAATGGAAAATGGTGCGGACATTCTGGAAAACACTGGCAGTTTCGCAAAACATGAACACAGTTACCACAGGACCTAGCAACTCCAGTCCTTGGATCGGCTCAAGAGGTGTGAACACAAGTCCACATGAAAACGTGTGCAGGGAAATGCTCCTCACAGCATTCTTCCTAGTAGCCAAAACGCAGAAACAGCACATCCATACAGTGGAATACTATTTGGCCACTAAAAGGAATGAAAGTCTGACATACGCTACAACATAGGTGGACCCTGAAAACATTATGGAAAGAAGCCAGACACAAAAGGTCAAATGTTATATGATCAGTTTTAAAAAATGTCCAATATCAGCAAATCCATAGAGATAGGAAGCAGGGCGAGGCACAGTGGCTCACGCCTGTAATTCCAGCACTTTGGGAGGCCGAGATGGGTGGATCACTTGAGGTCAGAAGTTTGAGACCAACCTGGCCAACAAGGTGAAACCCCATCTCTACTAAAAATATAAAAATCAGCTTGGCGGCCGGGCGTGGTGGCTCACACCTGAAATCTAAGCACTTGGAGGCCAAGGTGGATGGATCACCTGAGGTCAGGAGTTCAAGACCAGCAGGACCAACATGGTGAAACCCCGTCTTTTTTTTTAAATATATATATATAAATTAGCTTGGCATGGTGGTAGGCACCTGTAATCCCAGCTACTCCGGAGGCTGAGGGTGGAGAATCGCTTAAACCCAGGAAGTGGAGGTTGCAGTCAGCCGAGATTGCACCATTGCATTCCAGCCTAGGTAACAAGAGGAAAATTCCATCTCAAAAAAAAAATATATATATATATATACATATATACATATACATATACATGTACATGTACATGTCAGGCGTGGTGGCTCACGCCTGTAATTCCAGCACTTTGGGAGGCTGAGGTGGGTGGATCACCTGAGGTCAGGAGTTCGAGACTGGACTGACCAACATGGTGAAACCCCGTCACTACTAAATACAAAAAATGACCCAGACATGGTAGTGCATGCCTGTAGTCCCAGCTACTTGGGAGGCTACGGCAGGAGAATTCTTGAACCCAGGAGGTGGAGGCTGCAGTGGCTGAGACTGAGCCATTGCACTCCAGCCTAGGCAACAAGAGCTAAAATCTGTCACAAAATGAAAGAAAAAGAGAAAAAGGAAAAGAAAAAAAGAGAGAAAAAGGAAGCAGACAGGTTGTCTAGAGCCAGCGTGCTAGAGGGAAGATGAAGAATGACTGTGAATAGGTATAGATTTTCTTTTGGGGGTGATGAAAATGTTCTAAAATTGATGGTGGCAGGGTGCAGTGGCTCACACCTGGAATCCCAACACTTTGAGAGGCCAAGGCGGGTGGATCACTTGAGGTAAGGATTTCGAGACCAACCTGGCCAACATGGCAAAACCCCATCTCTACTAAAAACACAAAAAATTAGCCAGGTGTGGTGGTGGGCACCTGTAATCCCAGCTACTTCAGAAGCTCAGGCAGGAGAATTGCTTGAACCTGGGAGGTGGATGCTACAGTGAACCGAGATCAAGCCATTGCACTCCAGCCTGAGCAACAGAATGAGATTCCATCTCAAAAAATAAAATAAAATAGTAAAATAGGCAAGGCACAGTGGCTCACACCTGCAATCCCAGCACTTTGGGAGGCAGGTGGATCACCTGAGGTCAGGAGTTCAAGACCAGCCTGGTCAACATGGCAAAACCCCATCTCTACAAAAATATAAAAATTAGCTGGGTATGGTGGTATGTGCCTGTAATCCCAGATACTCGGGAGGCTGAGGTGGGAGAACTGCTTGAACCTGGGAGGCAAAGGCTGCAGTGAGCCGAGATCGCGCCACTGCACTCCAGCCTGGGCCACAGAGTGAGACTCCATCTCGAAAAATGTAAAATAAAATAAAATAAATAGTGGTTCAAGGCATTGACACCGGAGCCTGTTGACCCAAGTTTGAATCCTGTTCCAGCTGCTTACTAGCTGACCCTGGTAAGTTATTCAACCTTCCGGTGCCCTGGAAATGAGGAGAACAATGTAGGATCTGCCAGGAAGGGTGGGTGTGAGGATTAAACAGTTACTATGAGTAAAGTGCCCAGAACATGCCCAGCCACCAGAAAGCACTAACAACATGTAATCTCTGTTCCATCCCTACCACCCATCACAAGCGGCCAGGTGGCCGCATGCTAGGCATGCCTCTGTCCATCTGCTAAATAAATTCTCAGACCCACCTCCTTTGTCAGAACCTGTAGCACTGGGGACGAGAGGAGTAATAGCCTAGTACTGGCACCGAGGGTTCAAGGTCACCAGGGGAGGTGAAGGGCAGGGTGGGGGGCGGCAGTCGTGGGGGAGGGATGGGGAGGGCATGCTGACCTTCCCACAAGCAGGTGGGGCTTGGAAGCAAATGAGGCACATCCAGCCCTGTTCCTCTCTGCTCCCAGTGGGCATCGGCTGGGCTCACAGATGCTCAGAGAACATCAGTCAAGTGTAACTGGCTGGGGCAGGCAGAATAACAGCTTCCAAAGTCCTCCAGGTCCTAGTCTCTGAGAATATGTTGCCTTACGTGGCAAAGGGGACTGCGCAGAGATGATTAAGTTAGGGACTTAGGCACGGTGTGGTGGGTTATACCTATCACACCAGTAATTTAGGGGGCTGAGGTGGGAGCACTGCTTTAGGCCAGGAGTTCAAGAACAGCTTCGGCAACATGGCAAAACCCCGTCTCTACAAAAAATTTAAAAATTAGCTGGTTGTGGTAACGCATGCCTGTAGTCCCAGCTCTTGGGAGGCTGAGGTGGGAGGATCGCTTGAGCACAGGAGGTGGAGGCTACAATGAGCTGTGATTGCGCCACAGCGCTCCAGCCTGGGTGACAGAGCGAGATGCCATCTTTTTTTATTAAAAAATAAAAAAGGCTTTTGAGGCTGGGCATGGTGGCTCACATCTGTAATCCCAGCACTTTGGGAGGCCAAAGCAGGAGAATCATTTGAGCTCAGGAGTTCAAGACCAGCCTGGCCAACACAGAGAAACTCTTATCTACTAAAAATTAAAAAATTAGGTGAATGTGGTGGTGTGTACCTGAAATCTCAGCTACTAAAGAGGCTGAGGCACAAGAATCACTTGAACCCGGGAGGCGGAGGTTGCAGTGAGCAGAGATTGTGCAGCCTGGGTGACAGAGTGAAACTGTGTCTCAAAAAAAAAAGGCTCTTGAGATGGGGTGATGATTCTGGATTATCTGGTGGGCTGATGTCATCCCAGGGTCTTCGTGAGAGGTAGGAAGGCAGGTCAGCATTAGAGGAATGTGAAGGAGATGGGAAGATGCCCCACTGCTGGCTTTGCAGACAGAGGAAGGGGCCACGAGCCAGGGAATGCCGAGTCCATAAGCTGGGGAAGGCAAAGAAACGGATCCTCCTCCGCAGCCCCCCAAAGGAGTGGAGACATCCTGACATCTTGATTTTAACTCAGTGAGACCCACTTCCGACTTCTGACCTCCAGAAATTTCTCCAGTATTACCCATGTTGATAGGACCCATATGCTTCTATAATACTGTATGACACTGTAGCCATAATATTGAATTACCCAGTTCGATAAGACAATACATTTCTGGCCAGGCGTGGTGGGTCACACCTGTAATCCCAGTACTCTGGGAGGCTGAGGCAGGGGAATGGCTTGAGCCCAGGAGTTTGTGACCAGCCTGGGCAACATGGCAAAACCTCATCTCGGCTAAAAATTAAAAAAATAGCCGGGTGTGATGGCACACTCCTGCAGTTCAGCTACTTGGGAGGCTGAGGCGGCAGTGAACCATGGTCATGCCCAGTACTTAAGCCTGGGCAATGTCTCAAAAAAAAAAGAGAACACATTTGTGCTGTTTTGAGCCAATAAGTTTGTGGTAATTTGTTACAGCAGCCACAGGGATGAATACAGACCTTCACCCTCAGTTCTTTTTTTTATTTCTCTCAATGAACTGAAGTCGATGCCGGGATGCCAATTCTTGCCCCTGAGTTGACCACTCAGAATCTCATGCTGCCTCTATACCAGCTCAAAGCCTCTCCCGAGAGGCCGGCCCTAATCAGTCATCTCCTTCACCTGCCCTCAGCACCAAAAGTCCGCAAATCCCTCAGCCGAGCCCAGCACCTTCCTGACTCATCTCCCAGTCCTCTTCCTCACTCGCTCTGCTCCAGCCACACTGACTCTGTGTTCCTCAAACAAGCCAAATGCATTCCAACCTCAGGATCTTTGCACCTGCCATGTCTTCTGCCTAGAACGCCTCTCCCCCAGATCAATCTGTGGCTGGCTCCTACCCCTCATTCAGGTCTCAACTCAGATGTCGCCTCCTCAGAGAAGGCTTCCTGACTGCCCCACATGTTAGACCGCCACCCTAGCCAGTCTCTTTCATGTCTCCCAGTTTTATTTTCTTTATGGCACTTATAAGCTGATTTTTGTTATGTTTTGTTTTGTTTTGAGACAAAGTCTCACTCTGTCGCCCAGGCTGGAGTGCAGTGGCACAATCCTGGCTCCCTGCAACCTCCACCTCCTGGGTTTAAGAGATTTTCCTGCCTCAGCCTCTTGAGTAGCTGGGACTACAGGCGTGTGCTACCACACCCGGCTAATTTTTGTATTTTTAGTAGAGACAGGGTTTCACCATGTTGGTCGGGCTGGTCTTGAACTCATGTCCTTGTGATCCACCCGCCTCGGCCTCCCAAAGTGCTGGGATTTCAGGTGTGAGCCACCGCACCCGGCCGAATTTTTATATTTTTAGTAGACACAGAGTTTCTCCATGTTGGCCAGGCTGGTCTCAAACTCCTAACCTCAAGTGATCCAGCTGCCTTGGCCTCCCAAACTGCCGGGATTACAGGCATGAACCACTGCACCCAGCCTGACTTTTTTTTTTTTTTAATCTATCTCGGCTGGGCACAGTGGCTCATGCCTGTAGTCCCAGCACTTTGGGAGGACAAGACAGGAGGACTGCTTGAGCCCAGGAGTTCAAGACTAGCCTGGGCAACATAGTGAGACCTTGTCTCTGAATGGAAAAAAATTACAGCATGCCTGTAATCTTAGCTCGTCAGGAGGCTGAGGCAGGAGGATCTCTTGAGCCCAGTTGGTCAAGGCTACAGTAAGCTGTGATGCCATCACTGCACTCTGGGCTGGATGATACACCCCTAACTCAAGATTAAAAAGGACAAAAAAACTCTATCTCCTCCTCATGCTAGAACTGTACCATCCCATGGAAAAGCCACTAGCCACACGTGGCTGTTGAGCATTTGGCACGTGGCTGGTCTGAGTGGAAGTGGGCAGCAGGATTAAAGGCACGCCAGATTTCAAGGATGTAGTAGAAAAAAGAGTGCAAAATGGTGAATGATAAGTTTTTATACCGATTACATGTTGAAATGAAAAGAACTTGGATATGCTGAGTCCTATAAGATATATTAAAATGAACCTCACTTTTTGTGGTTGTTTTTTATTTTTTTATTCGACTCCTAGCAAAGATCTCATTTATGTTGCTGTTGGTTTTGAGACAGAGTCTCGCTCTGTCACCCAGGCTGGGATGTGGTGGTATGATCCTGACTCACTGCAACCTCTGTCTCCCAGGTTCAAGCCATTCTCCTGCCTCAGCCTTCCGAATAGCTAGGATTATAGGCAAGCGCCACCACACCCAGCTAGTTTTTGTATTTTTGGTAGAAATGGGGTTTTGCCATGTTGGCCAGGCCGGTCTTGGATTCCTGACCTCAAGTGATCGGCCCGCCTTGGCCTCCCGAAGTGCTGGGATTACAGGTGTGAGCCACTGTACCTGGCCAACCTCACTATTTTTTATTAACATGGCAAAGCGACATCATATTTCTCTAGTATAGCACTGCACTAAAAAGTCAGGCTCATCAGGGCCAAAGCCTCATCTGTCATGGTCATTACTGTCTCCCCAGTGTCTAGAACAGTGCCTGGCACACAGTATGCACTCAGTAAATATATTTACTGAACAAGTGAATGAATAGCACAGTCTGATATGTTATACGCCATTGGTCAGCCCAGCCATTGCTTTCTAGAATCTATTTGTGTTTTTCCTTTCTTCCTCATTATCCACCTGCTGCCTGACATGAAATTTTGCTTTTCTCTGCAGAGCCATGGCACCGAGAAGGTCACTGTGCTCACTATGGCCTGTCAAAAGGGTTGCAGACTGAGCAACAAGACAGAACATGATAGATCTGTGGCCTGCGTCACTTCCAGAGCAGTGGAAGTGAGCGAGTGGGTCTATTGGGAGGATTAGGGGGAAGACAGTATATGTGTTTTACTGGAGCCATAATTGCTAAAAGATAGAGAGAGAAGGAAGAAGGGGGAAGAGGAAGGGGAAAGGGAAGAGAAAAGGAGGCAAACAGACTAAATCAGGACATGCCAAGAAGATTTTTGTGAAAATATCACCTTGAAGAGCCTTTGAGACTGCAGAAAAGAAAAAAAAAAATCATACAAGTCTCTCTCCATCCCAGGAATGTGAAGTAAAGGGGTCTGGGCTGGGTGGGATTGAGGAGAGGTCATCCCCAGTGTAAGTGAACAAGCGCTGGCCCTGGGCGCACAGCGATCACTTCCCCGCTGACTGTGTTCCAGAGGCAAGTGCCGCTGCTGAGAATTCCACGTGACTTCAGGCCTGGTGGCCTCCAACGGCTTCCAGGGGTGTCTCCAGCCCCCCCGCAACAGAACTAAAGAGCCCCAGTGGGGGGACAGTATAGACACCAGGACTTCTGTGTGATCTGAGCAAAGCCCCTTGGTCCCTGTTAATAACGAGAGGATTTCCAAGATCTCTTGCCTCCTTGACCCTCTAGGAGCGATGGAGGCCTGTAGGGTAGGAGTAGAGGTGCTTAGCGTGGGGATGGTTTCCTAATACAAGCCTGTGAGCACCTCATTGAATGTCTCTCCTATAAAGAATTTTAACACTTCTAAAGGCCTATAAAGAATTTTAATACTTGTAAAGCCCTTGCTATGGGCAGGTTCTGTCCTGAACGGTTTCTGTGTCTTTTATATTAACTCCTTTAAACCTCATCACGATTCTTCGAGGGGGTACTATTACTATTCCATTTTAGAACTGAGCAAATGGAAGCACAGGGATACCGGGTGATTTGCCCAAGGTCAACACAGCCTGTAAGTGGTAGGGTTTGGAACCAGGCTATCTAGCTCCAAAATCCCCGCTTCTAGGAGTCCTGAAATTAATTATAGCACACAGCATTTTCAGGCTCCCAGAGTGACCTTGGAATGCTGGTCAACTCTTGGGAGCCGGAGTTTCCTTCCTGTCCCTAGGGCATAGGGACCCATGAGGACAAACACAGTCAAACATGGCAATAGTGCCAGTACCAGTGGATCTGCCCTCAGGTTAAGGGTTCAGACCCAGCTTTGGCTATTTTCCTCCAAAACACAGAGATCCATCCAAGTACACAATTGGGGATGCCCTGCCCCTGAGGTTCAGAGAAGTCAGTTGTATTTCCTGAGGCTGAACAGCAAGCTGGAGACTGCTCAGGCAGACTGATCCCTCAAGGAAAGGTGTTTCCTCCCATTCTCACTCTGAAGGGGCTGCAAGAGCATCCCTGGCTGAGGTTAGGGCAGGAAACCACATGTCTTTCACTTCCTTTTCACCAGGAACCTCGTCTGGACTCCAGGCCCAGTGGGGAGACCCTGATTCAGAGAGGCTCCTGTTCCCAGGCAGAGGCTCAGCCTTAAAGCTGCCCCAAATCATCCCTTTCCCCCAATTCAAACAGGGTGGAGAGGAGACACAGGGCCTGGGTCTCTCTCACCACTAACTTGGGATAAATCCCTCCTCCCACTGTGACTCTCGGTTTCCTCATCTGTAAAATGAAGATAATCCCTACAGAATCCTGTGAGGATTAAGGATAAAATCAAAGAGGAGAGAACACTCCCTGCCACAGGTTCATAAGCTAGGGGAGTCTCGGGAAGAAAGTTGCAAATATGAACCCAGAGACTGGGAGTCAGGAAGCTCAGTGGGTGGAGGTCAAATTCCCTTTGCTCTGGGGAGACTAGTGGTGGAGATGAAGAAGGGGGCCTGATGTCACATCTTCTTGGGTAACACAGGAGGGCAAGGGACTTATTTCATATCTGGAAAAAAATACTATCTAAGCACTTAGCTTATATGGTCCCATTTAATTCTTCTAAGGTGGGTCCTATTTTGATCACTATTTGACAGGTGAGGACATAAGGCACAGAGGGGTTAAGTAATTTACCCAAAGTCACACAGCTATTAAACAGTAAAGGTGGGAATGAACTCCAGAGAACAGCTCTTTATCTCTCGGGTGGTATCTGCCAGCTACAGGGCCTCCCTCCCTCCCCACGTCGGGTCTCCTCTGGTCCGGTCCCTGAACACACACGCGTGCGCACCCACAGCTGCCCAAGGTGGAAGGGCCCTTGGGTCCCCGCGGGCCCACTGCCCGGACGGGAAGACCGAGGCCACCGCCCACCTTCTGGTGCTTGCGCTCCTTCTCGATGCGGTCCATCCTCTCCAGGCGCAGGCGATCCAGCTCCAGGCGCAGCTCGTCCAGCTCGGGCGCGACGTGGTGGCGGCTGACCAGCACCTCCAAAATCTCCAGGACGCGCACGACCTTGGGCATGAGGCGCGCGATGGCCTCGCAGCCGTGCTGGTCGATGACCCGCTCGAACTCGTGGCCCACGAGAGACGCGATGTCGTACACGTCCATGACGGTCAGCTCTGCCACGTTCTTCTCCAGCGCCGACTCGGCCGCCAGCGCCGACCCCCGCTCCTCCTCCATGGCCGCCCTCCCGGCCTGTCCCCCGCCCCGCAAACTCGTGCAACTCCTAAACTTGCCGCTGTCGAGGGCCGCGCCGGCCGGGCCCAGCCTGGGCCGCGGGCGGGCGCGCTCAGCGGGCGCGGGGGCTAGGGCGCAGCGAGCGGCGGGCGGCGGGCGCGGGCACGGGCGGCGGCGCGGGGTGCGCGGGGTGCACGGGGCAGCGGTCTGGGCACCGGGCTCGGCCGGGAGCTGCTCCCGAGTGGGCGGCGGCGGCGGCGGAGGCGGAGGCGGGGAGGGCGCGCGCGTGCGCAGGCCCGCGGCGCCTCCCAAGTTGAGATCCGAGTTGCGCTCAGTGGAGCCGGGCCCGGCGCCCCGGAGCGGTGCTGGCCGGAGGGGAGGCCGCGCGCTGGGCCCGAAAGGAAGGGCGGCCCGCGGCTCCTCCGGGAAACTTTGGCAGCGGCGGCGGCGAGGCCGGGTGACCGCTCCCCCCGCGGGGAGGCTGCGCGCCCCGCCCCGATCCCGGCCTCGCCAGGGGCGCGCCCGCCTTCCGCCGCCCGGGGGCGCCCCGGGGTCCCCCCCAGCGCCGACTCCGCGGCCTGCACCCCGGATCCCCCCTCTCCAGCCCGGAACCCGCGGCGCCCAGCACCCGCGCCCCGGCCGCCCCTCCCCTGCCCCGCACTGGCTCCTCCCCCAACCCGGCCGCCGGTAGCGGTCCAGGCCGCCCCGGGAGAGGGGGCCGGGGGCGCTGGTCTCGCGGGACAATTCGCTGCCCCGGCGAGTGGCCCTGGCCTTGGAGAGGGATGGAGGGGTCACGAGGAGGTCCCGGGGCTGGGGCTCATCCCCGGAAGAAAACGGGGACCCTCCCCCGGCCGCAGGCCCTCCCCGCAGACCCGGCCACCAGGCCGACCTGCAGAGGTGCCCGGAGAAGGGCAGAAGTGTTGAGGAGTGCTGGGTTCCCGGAGCGGCCGGGCGCCCCCTCCCAGAGCCACATTCATCAGCGGCTCCTGGTGACATAAATGCCACTTTACAGTAGAGCGAAGCCCCCTTGCATCATCCCAGCACCACGAGTTTTTTTGTCCGAAGGTCCCCTGTGTTTTTGGGCTGGCCAAATTCGCTTGTTCATCAGACACCCTCCCCACTCCCAGGAGAACCTTTCCTGAACCCAGAACCCATCCACCCTCCCCGCCCCCTATGCAGGAGTTAAGGAACCCCCTTGCAAACTCAGAGCCCCCTGCTTGCCCCTTCAAAATTGCTCTTAGCATGCTGAGTTTTCACCGTGTGGTTGCAGATATGTTTCCACCGTCTGACTATTAGCTCCTTGAGGGAAGAAACCTAATTAATGCGCTTGTACCCATGAAACACTACCCCAACCTGGCACCTCTAAAAGGTTTTTTATTTGTTGATTTTAATAGAGACACTATGGGTGTCTCTATTAATGGCTCATTATGTTGCCAAGGCTGGTCTTAAACTCCTAGACTCAAGTGATCCTCTTGCCTTGGCTTCCCCAAAGCACTGGGATAGCAGGCATGAGCCACCGCGCCTGGCCCCAAATTGTAAAAGTTTAAAATGTATTGAATATTTGCTTTACATGTAGTTACAAAATATGCAGCGCTTACTATGTGCCAAGAATTATTCTAAGTGTTTTACTAATATTACCTCATTTAATCCCGACTCCATTGATTCCCAAAGTGTGGCCTAAGGACGGCTGGGGTCCCCAGTATCCAAAGGGTCTCTGGGAGGTTGTCCCTTTCTCCAGCTGCATGTCAGTTTCAGGCTGGGTTTTCTTCCTATGCTCAACACAAAACGGTGGATTGCAGCTGACAGCGCAGAAGCAGCGTTGAGGCCCCAGCTCCCTTCTAATGAGCAAGACGCTAGACTTGCAAAAGCATAACCCAGTACCATTGTTGGCAAGATTTTTTTTTTTTAATTTTGCAGCATAGCATGATTTTTTCGTTAAACAATACATATGAGCCGGGTGCAATGGCTCGTGCCTGTAATCCTAGCACTTTGGGAGGCTGAGCTAGGAGCATTTCTTGAGCTCAGGAGTTCTAGACCAGCCTGAGCAATATAGTAAGAATGCTCTACTAAAAAAAAAAAAAAAAAAAAAAAATTAAAATTAAAAAATTAAGGCCCGGTGAGGTGGATCATGCCTGCATGCCTGTAATCCCAACATTTTCAGAGGCCGAAGTGGATTTCTTGAGCTCAGGAGTTCAAGACCAGCCTGGCCAACATGGTGAAATCCCAACTCTACTAAAAACACAAAAATTAGCTGGGTGTGGTGGCCAGAACCTATAGTGCCAGTTACTCAGGAGGCTGAGGTATAAGAATTGCTTGAAACCTGGAGGTGGAGGTTGCAGTAAGCCGAGATCACGCCACTGCACTCTAGCCTGTGTGGCAGAGTGAGACTCCTTCTCAAAAATAAAAAATAAAAAATTAGCCAGATGTGGTGGCAAGAACCTGCAGTCCTGTGTATTCAGGAAGACAAGGTGGGAGGATCCCTTTAGCCTGGGAGGCAGAGGTTGCAGTGAATTGAAATCACACCACTATGCTCCAATCTGGGTGACAGAGCGAAACTCTGTCTCAGAAAAATAAAATAAGAATAAATAAAAAATATATAGGCCTGGCACAGTGACACATGCTTGAAATCCTAGCAATTTGGGAGGTCAGGGCTGGAGATCACTTGAGCCCAGGATTTCCAGACCAGCCTGGACAGCATGGTGAAACCCTATCTCAAAAAGAAAAAAAGAAAGGCCAGCTGCAGTGGCTCAAGCTTGTAATCCCAGAACCCTGGGAAACTTCATCTCTACTAAAAAAATTTAAAAATAGCCAGGTGTGGTGGCAGGCACCTGTAATCTCAGGAACTCGGGAGGCTGAGGCAGGAGAATCACTTGAACCTGGGTGGCAGAGGTTGCAGTAGCTGAGATCATGCTAATGCACTCTAGCCTGGGTGACAAAGTCAGACTCCATCTCAAAAAAAAAAAAGCCAGGTGTGGTGGCATGTGCCTGTAGTTCCAGCTACATAGGAGGCTGAGGTGGAAAGACGATTTGAGCCCAAGTGGGCAGAGGTTGCAGTGAGCTGTGATCACGCCACTGTACTCCAGCCTGAGTGCCACGGCGAGACCCTATCTTAAAAACAACAGCAAAAAAAAAAAAACCCATATGTTAGCCAGCATGGTGGCAATTAGGAAATGGATGCACAGAGAGATTAAAAAGCTCACCCAAGCTGAAGTTCCAGTTACTTCAGCAGGAGGATCCCTGGAGTTCAGGAGTTCGAGTCTAGCCTGGGCAATGTAGGAAGACTGCCTCTAAAAAAAAAAGTTAAAAAAATTTATGGTAACATGTAATGTGTTTACTATTTTGAATTAATATTTGTAAAGCATCAGTTTAAATTTTTCTTTCTTCATTTCCTTTTTTTTTTTTTTTTGGTTTAGAATCAGGGTATCATTCTGTTGCCCAGGCTGGAGTACAGTAGTGCAATCATAGCTCACTGCAGCCTCAAACTCCTGGGCTCAAGTGGTCCTCCCTCTTCAGCCTTCTGAGTAGCTGGGATTATAAACTTCCATTTACAGTAGATATGAGCAGATATAACTCACCTAACAAAAGCTCTTTCAAGGCAGGGCACAGTGGCTCACGCCTGTAATCCCAGGCTTTGGGAGGCCAAGGTGGGCAGATCACCTCAGGTCGGGAGTTTGAGACCAGCCTGGCCAACATGGTGAAACTCCCATCTCTACTAAAAATATAAAAATTAGCTTGATGTGTGGCATGTACCTGTACTCCCAGCTACTAGGGAGGCTGAGGCATGAGAATCGCTTGAACTCAGGAAGCAGAGGTTGCAGTGAGCCAAAAGCATGCTGTTTCACTCTAGCCTGGGCAACGGAGTGAGACTGTCTCAAAAATATATATATATATTTCAGTGTGTGTGTGTGTGTGTGTGTGTGTGTGTGTGTAAAGAGGTTCAGAGACCAAAAAGTTTGAGAACTTATGCCTTATGACATCCTAAGAGGTAATTTTTGTTATTTTACAAGTGAGGAAACTGAGGCACAAAGAGATTAAAAAGCTCACCCAAGGCCAGGCAGCTGGCGAAGTTAAATTCAGGGTCAGACCTGTGCAGTCTGGCCTCAGGTCTGTGCTGTAGCCTTCTCATCCTTGTTCCTTACACATGCTAAGCACTCTAAACCTTCTGGATTCTCCCAACAATCCAAATGAAGCTGACATATTATTGTGGTCCCCTTTCTTTTTTCCTTTTTTTTTTGAGACAGAGTCTCACTCTGTCACCCAGGCTGGAGTGCAGTGGCACAATCTCAGCTCCCTTCAATCTCTGCCTCCTGGGTTTAAGCAATTCTTCTGCTTCAACCTCCAGAGTAGCTGGGACTACAGGCACCCAGAACCATGCCTAGCTAATTTTTGTATTTTTAGTAGAGATAGGGTTTCACCATGTTGGCCAGCCTGGTCTTGAACTCCTGATCTCAGGAGATCTGTCCACCTCGGCCTCCCAAAGTGCTGGGATTATAGGCGTGACCTACCATGCCCAGCCAAGTGCTGTCCCCTTTCGTTTATTTATTTATTTATTATTTTTTTGAGATGGAGTTTCACTCTGTTGCCCAAGCTGGAGTGCAGTGGCACAATCTCAGCTCACTGCAACCTCTGCCTCCTGGGTTCAAGCAATTTTCCTTCCTCAGCCTCCCAAATGGCTGGGACTACAGGTGCACGCTGCCTCGCCCAGCTAATTTCTTTTGTATTTTAGTAGAGACGGGATTTCACTGTGTTGTTTAGGCTGGTCTCGAACTGCTGAGCTCAGGCAGTCCACCCACTTCGGTCTCCCAAAGTGCTAGGATTATAGACATGAGCCGCCGTGCCCAAACTGCCCCTTGTTAAAGAAGACAAGGAGGCAGGGAAACGTGGATGAATTTCCTGTAGCTACTGTAACAAATTGCCACAAACTTGGTGGCTTAAAACAAAACTGGCTGGGCGCAGTGGCTCACGCCTGTAATCCCAACATTTTGGGAGGTTGAAGAGGAATGACCACTTGAGTCCAGGAGCTGGAGACCAGCCTGGGCAGCGTAGTGAGACTCTCTCTACACAAAAAAGGTTTTAGGCCAGCTGTGGAGGCTCAGTTCTGTAATCCCAGCACTGTGGGAGGCTGAGACAGGTGGATTACTTGAGCTCACAAGTTGGACACCAGCCTGGGCAACATGGAGAAACCACATCTCTACAAAAAAATTAAAAAAAAAAATTAGCTGGGTATGGTGGCATGTGCCTGTAGTCCCAGTTACTTGCGGGGCTGAGGCAGGAGGATAGCTTGAACCTGGGAGGTCGAAGCTGCAGTGAGCCATGATCCTTCCACTGCACTCAAGCCTGGGAGACAAAGGGAGACCCCGTCTCAAAAAAAAAAGTTTCAAATTAGCCAGGTGTGCTGGTGTTCACCTGTAGTACTAGCTACTTGGGAGGCTGAGGTGGGAGGACTGCTTGAGCCTGGGAGGTCGAGGCTGTAGTGAGCCATGATCGCACTATTGCCCTCCAGCCTGGGCCACAGAGTGAGATGCTATACCAAACAAACAACAACAACATCAAAAAACCCACAAAACCAGAAACGTATTCTCTCACAGTTCCAGAGTCTGGAAGTCCAAAATCAAAGCATCAGAACTACCACCTTCTCTCCGA